TGTTTTCCATGGCTGTCATACCTTAATTGAGTTACCATATTTACTGTAATAAAAGTGATCTTTTTTATTTGCATTTATTTGTAACTCAATCTTTTTCATTTGACTGAGTCATGCAATAACAGAGAGCAATATTTTCTAGTTAAACATCAATAAAAAAGTGGGTTTGAATTCTGTCATGAACTTTCATATTTGGTAACTTTAGGTAATCTAGATTGCCTATGGAAGTTCAGTGGCTTCTTTCACAAGTAAAGCTGGAAGGTCAATGCATGTTGTAAACAGTGATCAGGTATTAATACAAAAGAATGTGATTCTTAGACTCAAGAGAATATCAAATAAATGTTATTTTCATAAGTTTATTATTGTTTGTGGATGCAAGGAAATATTGTCTTAATATTAAATGTTAATTGGTTATAATGATACATGTAATATATTTGTTGGAAATGAAAGTGAAATATTGTGATAGTAATTTTGTTGTAACAACACGAATGTGATGTAATACTATGCAAAAACTTGTTGTATTATTTTTTTTATATATACACCCTTTTAATTTATGCTTGCATAATCTCAGTATTTATATTACTTTTTGCAACACAGAAGAATAAATATTTTATAGACATGTTCATGTATTTTAAACTTGGTATTTTAACATAAAATAATGGAGTTGACTTCCAATTTGTAAAAGTATATACATGTACATTTAAGTGACACATTTTGATAGATAAATGACTACTTCATTCAAAAGTGTCTGCTTTATGAAGGTTTTTGCATATTGATTTTTCATTTTTTCATGTGTCTAAACTATCAGTATCAAAACTTATGAGTACTCTATTATCAACCTTGGTAGAAAAAAGATTTCCACCAAAAAATGCTGAACATTTAGCCTCCTGTCAGCAACAATTTCAAACCATGTGACCAAGATCAGTTGGCCCATTCATTGTCTGCACAGTTTGCTTTTCAGCCACTACATATTTTTGAGATTTTTCCCCAAAAAGATTAATGGTTATGCCCAGTTTGAAAGAGAAACAAGTCAATTTAAGATATTTGGGGTGAAAAGAGTTATTCAAATTTGAAAATACATATTGTCAGATTCTGTTCTCTGTTAGAATTATTTTTATATATTAATCAACCTTGGAAATAAATTGCATAAAAATTTACAGTCTCAACACTTTAGTTTAAACAATATTTTATTTATAATCCATACATTTACATAATAAAGTACATTAAATAAAATTTATGGATTGAGTAGGAAGCTTTGTCAACAATTAACTTAGTTTATCTGATATGAGATACAATCCATTAATCTAATCATTTAAAACTTTTGTCTAGTGTACTTTTGATTATTTCCATATTCAACTCTTGTCACCCTATTTTCACATCATTTAATCAAAGTGTTTTGTAGTCCCACATTAATATACTGCCAAAAAGTGTTGTTGATTATTTATGATTATATTTATAATGTATTTGTTGTTACTCACTTAATCCGTATTATTACCTATGTGCTTTGCTGTGTTGTTGTTTTTGTTGTTAAATATCAAACTTTTAATATTGTTGTTTTTCATTTGCTAAAATTTTACCCCATGACCCTCCTATTTTTACTATCTTTGTTTGACTTTACTTATGGTATATCCTTTGTCTTAGTAATCATTATGTTTTGTTTTATATTTTAATTCCTTATTATTACTTATAGAGATTTATCATTGTGGTGGTTATTGTCAAGATAACAGTAATTCTGATTTATATTTGATGTTTTTTTTTAATTATTTGAAACATGTAGAAAAGATTAAATAAATCAATGTTATTATGTGTGTTACTTAATTGTTAATTTGGCAAATAAAAATCTCAGTGACACTGTGTTTAATTGTTTAAGGTTTGGTATTATCTTTCATCACTATGTGAAAAAAAAATTTGAAAATTTAATGTTTGTCTTTTTATTATTCATCCGAATGCTGTACGTACTATATTGCATAAAAATTTACTATGCCCAGTGAGCCATCCTTATTTCTAAATTTAAACTGCAAATTGTTGTGAATGTCATTTTCACAATATTTTGTTCATTGATAAGTGATATTTATCAAACTTTGATGAGTTATAAGTATTGAGCTAGTGCTAGTTAATAATGGAAAGTCAATATACATGTATAACAAACAGAATACTTATACTGTAGATAACATAGTCAAAGTCTACATTTTATAAGCTCAACAGATTCAAGTTGTGATATTTTGATGCGAGGTCTCACTAGCCTGTCTGAACAATCATATACATTGGTCTTCAGGAAAGTATTATGCACATTTAATAGCTCTCTAGGTCAAATCTCAAGGTTTTACATGGAGTTCAGAGGAAAATGCATGTTCAAGCAAAACTTCTACATGGATAATGGCATAAAGGGATTCTAATTTAACAAGGCACAAATGTTCATCATTATGAGATACGTATTGTGCATAAAATTCAGGTCCTGAGGCCAAGGTCACACATAGAGGTCAAAGGTCAGGTAAAATTACCTTGGTTTAATTAGTTTGTTTGTGTTATAATGGCAGTGGATATTAAATGCAGTACACCCAGTGTCACTCGCCTTATAATTAGATTAATTTGTTGTAAAGACTTTAACCAATTTTACATACTTTTTGTTACTGTTAAACTGAAAAAAATACATTGCACATAATAAAATTCATAGAGAAGTTAATAATTCATTCTGGTTAAAGCAGCATGCCTCCAGATTCATACAAATTTCTTGAAAATTTTAAAAATTCATTTAAAAGTAAAATATAATTATTGTGAAGTGAACAAAGACATTAATGCACAGATTGCTAATGGGGCTAACAATCCATGTAAATTACCCAGAAGACACCAGAAGACATAAATAAATTTTAATATACAAAAGATAGCCCTTACTTTCTTAGTTATGTGGTAGAAATGGTGAAAAATAATATAAAATCTGCCGATAATCTCACATAACATGTCAAATATAATTGAATCTTGTACCTTTTTAATTTTTTTTTTCAATCTTTGTATATTTTTCTCAAAATTGATTTTCTTGAATTTTTTTTTGGCTTATCTGGATGCTAGTCCAACTAATTGTACTTTGCGACGAGATATTGTGCTATTTTCGTGTCTGGGCAATATCTCGCCTCTACAGCGAGATTCTGCCCCAAAACGAAAATATCTCAGAATCAAGCTTTGGCACGTCAATATATTTTACTAATCTGGATGCATGTAGCTTTAAGCAGTTGCTAGTAGTACATGGATGGTGCTTTCCAGTACTGTATCATGGATTTATATTATTGTAATTAAGGCCTGTGACTGTATGAACACTCCATCAAACTGAGCCTGCAACATTTTCAATTTTGCCGTTCTGGGTACTCTCCTATTTTATAAATTAGATTGTGTTCCACAAGTTTAGCAGAGCTCATTATGTTTAAACATAAAATTTTTTGCTTACATGTAAAATTAAGGCAAATACAAAAAGTCAGAGGCTTTAATTAAACCACGGCTTTCAATGTAAATAAAGCCATCTTTAAACATTGGAAATAAAATAATGCGTCAATACCCTGCTGGCCGTACCGTGTTACGTATTCGAACTCTCTTCCGGTAAATGACGTGCAGACGGGAAATATCATTATCCTTCAATCTAACAAAAGATTTAATTGGACAGAATTTCTGCAATTAACCAATCAAAAATCTACATTTATCGCAACGTTGGCAGTGTTTGGAACATGGCTGAAGGTGGAAATTTGGTTTCTGTAGACTTTGAAGTCTTTGGAAAAGTTCAAGGTTTGTGTAACAAATTAAATATTATGGTGTATGGAATACGTTTTTAGTCGAAATTAATTTCTCAGGAAATGAAATTAATATGAAAAAGGCAAAGCCTCAAAGCGATCTCGATGTACTTTTAACGTGAAATAGTATGAAATAATCGCTCATTTTTATTTCAAATGCACTGACGAGTGCCGCTGTGCGTGTGACGTTACACGTATTGTGTTAAATATGGCTCCGCCCCTGTCGTTAAATGAATAACGAGTTTTGAAAACGTTGGTAAAACTTTGTTTATTTTATTTCACTCTATAATTTTTCAAGCGAAATAAAGATTAGCCTGGAACCCCGTTGTATCGATCTAGTTATTTATAAATAACAACTGCAATTAAATAAATTTAACCTACCTTAATCTTTATTTTTTATCATTTATTTTGATCCTTTTCTGATAATATTTGCATGGCAAACATTACTGATACATAGTCTTTAGCTTGGAATATACGGATATTTGATGCCATGTCAAACAGATTGAAGAATTAGGTCACGCCATTATATCGATGCATTGTGAGAATTACTCAGCAAGTCAAAGTATGGAAAGCCTAAACCGTCGTTATGCAACATTTTTAGTCAATTAGAAACAAAGATGTCTGTCTTAAAAATTTCAACATAAATTTTTGAACTTTTAACAGTTTGTAACAGTCTGTAACAAGAACACATTATTTACAAGTCTATTTCTGCTGTCTATTTAATTATCTTTTGGCAGGCAGTGAGGGCATCTGAACTCACTTTTACGTCTTAACACTCGCACTGTGCTGCAAAATTTTAAATGAGTCCAGTGGGAACAGTGGTCACATTTTCCCCATGAAACAATAGTGACAAACGGGTGTTTATGTAAGTCTGCTGGCTCCCACCTATTACATACACAGCACCTCTCATCATCTGTTGTTTCATCTTCAGTTTCATCAGCATCTTCTGCCTTCAAATTGATTGGACCACCACTTTTTACAAGACCAGATGTGCTTGGTTTTGGCTCACTAGTACTAAGCTGGTTCTTGTGCTTGGTACTACTGGTATTCTGCTTGACTCAGGGTTCTCACTAGGACTTTAAAACATGGAGTCCATGGACTCCCAACCCTGAAAAAGTTGGAGTCCAAAAGCGCGTCGCAATTAATATGTTTACAGATTAGTCATTCAATGCTCACAATAGCATTGCTGATATTTTGAATCTTCAAGAGACTTCCAAAGTTTATAGTTATTCAAAAGAAACTCTGAACTACATAGTATAATTATTGTTTTGTTGTTGATATTTATTATGAAATTATTTCATTATAATGCATAAACACATGGAAATCGTTTTTTTTTTTTTCACTTTTATACCAAATCAAATTTTATTCTGGTTAAATAAGTCCACTCTAAAGACAAAAAGTTTATATTTGTAAAAAAAAAACGTAAATGTATATAGGCAGCGTTTAGCGGAATGAATAGGAAAATCGTGTACAGCTTCAAACAGTGTGTAAGAGATTCATCCGATCGACAATTATTTTAGCAAATATCTTCAAAAGGGGGCAAATTGAAGATCGATATTTAAAGATTTAATGTTGATTAAATAATAAAGGAACAATTCATTCGCATGTTTGGCTTGGAAACCGAGAATTTTTGCGAAATTTTAGGGTTTCTGGCGAACGTGAAATCGCCGATGTTCGGGATCAATTTTTGGATAGAATTTAAATATCAAAGAAAAGCGTATGTGTATTTTGGTTTGTTGTTCTGGCATTTCGGCACAATATCTTAAATTCTTAATAGTCTTATCGAAAGTTTTTGCAAGAATAAAACTAAAGCAAAATTGTGCCTAGAAAATGCCGAAAATATTTGACAATCATTCAAAATTACATTCATTTGTAATTTGAGAAAACAGGCGTAAATAGTCGATAAATTTATCCTTTTGTTGGTAAAATTTGCTAATTTCCAATCAACTGTTGATCAAAGATATAAAATTATCACCTCGTGTTATATCTGGTAATTACATGTAGTGTACAGCGCGTGTATACATTAGTCTGATCACTATTGCGTGATAATGATCGTAAGCGTTATCGCTGATTGGCTAATCGCTTCACGGGTCGATGTTCATAGGACCGCCTACCTATAGACTGACACGCGCTGACGCATTTGTGTATTTCTGGTTGTAAACAATCGGTAATGTTTATGCGTCCCCAGGCAAAATTAAGCGTACGTGGAATCCTTGCTCTGAAATATTTGCGTCCAGCTGTAATAAACATGCGTACCGGGACGCCGAAATAAGCGTCCCCGAGAACCCTGTTGACTGACGCATTTGTCAAAATTTCAATGTTCTTGTCAAGTAACAGATTACCAGAAACCTTAAATGGGGGTACAAACTTTCTTTGTTTTGGCTTTACAGCCTTTTTAATTGTTCTTACTGAGAAGAAAGTGGTGGCAGGAGACTTATTTTGTGATTCAACAGAGGTAGTGACAATATTGGTGGAAGTTGTTTCATCCTCAGACTCCTTGACATTATCCTCAGACTCTTTATAAATAATTGATGGAGCTACTTGTGAGTCAGCAATATTTGTTTTATTAAAGGGAAATATGCCAGTACGTCTGAAAGCAGAGATGAGGTTTTCTGGTGTAAGAGCTTTAAGATATGGTTTAGATGTGAGCTGGGCAATGTCATACTTGGTTATATTTATTCCAGGATTAAGTTTCAAATATTTCTGACATTCGTGGTTGTACATTTTTTTAAAGGGTCCAAATATGCCAACATCTAGAGGTTGTGTTAGATGGCTGGAATGAGGAGGCAACACAAATAAAATAATATGTTCTTTGGCCCATTCAGCTAAAGTTAATGAAATGTGTGATCTGTGGCCATCATATAACAGGAGGGTAGGTGTGTCAGAATCAGTTGTTGCTGCATAGGAAATGAAATGTTTTGTCAGGTAATTCAAAAAAAACATCAGAGTTTGACCAACCAGTTTTCGACATCTCTCCTGCTGACCCTGGACATGACCCTTTCAGAAAATCTTCATTCCACCTCTGACCCGGAAATACATAATAAGGTGGTATACTTTGACCTAATGCATTTCCAGCAGCTATCAATGTGATTGTTGACGATCTAGCAGATGTAATATTTTGGGCTGTAGTATCTTTCTTACAAATTACTTTGGGAGGTGAATGTTCTGTATTTACACCGGTTTCATCTATATTAAAAATCTTGTTTGGTTTATCTTTAATATTGTTTGATATTAAGACTGTTTCAAGCTCTTCATAATATTTGTTAAGTGTTTCTCTTGAAGCTGATTTTGCCCTAGCAATGGATAATTTTTGTGCCTTTACAGTCTTAAGATCTGGCCATCTTTTGGTGAACCCATAAAACCAATTATCACTCAGTGACTTGTCAGCCCTTACAACTTTGCCCAAAGAATCTGCATAGTCCTTTGCCAAGTACTGAAGTGACATCTTGTTGTAGCCATATCCAATTTCAGCCATGTAGGTTATATGGTTGTACAACTTCTGCTCCTCTTCCTGAGTGAAAATGGTCTCATGGCCAACTCTAGCAGTAGCTTTAACCCTGCCACTTATCCTGTCCCGCAATGTAGTTGGAGGTACAGAATACATCTTTGCAGCCCTATATGCAGAAATACCCTTCTGAGTGGCTTCAAATGCTCTCTGGAGATTAGATCTGTCATACAACAGACGTCTCTTCTTGACTTCAGGTTCCTAAAAATAGAAACAAGCATGAATGTTAATCTGTATCAACTCATGCTGTCTAATAAAGCTTTTTAAAGCAAAGCACAAGATGGAAAAGATGACAGAAACGGCTTTCCATAGTTTTATTTTTTGACAGGTGCACTCACGTGACTTATCAATGGTTGACATTTGCAGACGAACTTTGAAACAATTGCTGATATGAGTATTTTTTAACTTTTTATGCATGAAATATTTAAAATATATATGAAATTTAGGTTAAAATGTTACAGAAAATTACTTACCACTACTCGAAACATGTTTTTGATGATTTTTACGGCAGAAAACGAAAGCGAAAGTATGACGTGACACTGTTGTAAATGTAAACAGTCAGTAGGTGGCGCACTTTGCAAAATATCGCGAGATTTGTAAATAGATCGATACAATGAATAGCACGATACAATGGGGTTCCACTATATTAAAAGTGAAATAAATGTAAAACTTAAAACGTTTGCGACATTAAAATAGCGTACTTGATTTGTTTGTTTTGCACGTGCTGTTTGGCGCTACATTGTGACGTCACGTAAACAATACTTTAAACGTATGTACAGCGTTAACGACTGAATAAAAGATATTGGTGTTCGGATTCATTTTCTTAGTTAGACCATTTCTTAAGACTTTCATTCTAGATAGTTTTCACAACAAAATTCGACAAAAAATTGTTTTAATTTATCAGATTTTTCAAACAAAATGGCGCCTTTAATTTTCATTTTACAGTTCGATATTTTATCGACAGCTTCCGTTATTCTGGTTTCCTGTCCAATTATGGTTCCCATTGACGTGCGCGGGTGACCAGTCTACACATCCGTTTTCAGTCAGAATTCCTCAGTTTTTATCGTTATCTTTAAATTCGAAAGGTTGCGATGTGTCCAATTCGGTACTTCGAACGAAAGTTTTCAAAACCATCACTTAGCAGGTACTCGCGTTACCGTAAAGCTCGCTATGCAAGCAGGCCCTTCGGGCCAGCTCGTCGAGCTCGCTATAAAAGGTATGAAAATAGTTTTGGGGAATTTTCACGTCCAGTGGCAGTTGTAAGATTTTTCAAATAGAATTGAAAGACCCTGGTCAGGATGCACACACACTTGCAGTGTGGAGCTCAAAACGCCTTAATATCCAAATAAAATGTATATTTGTCAATCACAGCACACAACTGATCAATATATATAAAAAACTTACTATAAACCGTTTTGAGAACAAGATCTAACACACAAGATAAAAGTGTTTGTCGAAATAAATCCGCACACCTACCATCAAAATCACCATATATTTTATTCCATTTCCAATTTTTCCAATATTTTCACAATCATAATCCCTTTGTCCATTGACACAGAAGATATTATTCCATGATGGTCAATTTTAAACTTCAACATCAAAATAAACAACGTAACAGGTGAAATGAACATCAAGAATATTGCCGTTTTACTCCTTTTACAAAGTCTTTCGACAAATTCAAACTGGTTCCCCAGCTTTGCCATATGCAAATGCGCCTCGCTTTGAAGATGGGAACCAACATATTACCGAATGGCTCTGACTATAGCTGACTGGTTCTCATCTTCAAAGCACAGTGCATTTGCATATGGCAAAACTGGGGAGCCGGTTTTAGTTTTTTTACCTATTTATGAACAAATGTAAAAAATAAATACCTTTTAACAAAAGAAGTAAACTGCTCCCGAAAAATCATGATTAAATCCTTTACAGTCCAAAATTTTACCAAATGAGAGCCCTGTCTTTTATTCAATTTAATTCATTATACATCTGATAAACAAATGACCATCACACAGTGAATCAGTTCGTTAATTTTATTTCATGTAGCATCAGGTAGCTATCATTAGAGCATTTATTCTCTTTTTATCTTATTTTAATCTTTTATTCATACCTAAAAAAAAAGAATAAATGCACATGGACTGTGGTTTTAAAAAAACAAAATGTGTATTATGTTCCGTTTCAGGTGTTTTCTTCAGAAGAGTAAGTACAGAAGTACATTATGGTCAGATACACATCAGTCTAGTGATTGCCAAAGTGTGTATCCAGGATTTCTAAAATTGGTTTCCATTGGCTAACTTTTTTATTTACTATAAGTATTTAAAAAGAAACTGAAGGAAATCCTCTCCTATACAGAAACAGTTTTTTACATAATTATTTAAAATAAACCTAAAGTTATATACAAATGTAAGTCACTACTCTTATGGAGAACAAACAGCATCCTTATAAATTTGTTAACATCTTTTATTATTTACTGACATTTAACCTTCTAATGGTACATGTAGATTGGCACACAGAAATAAAGAGAAGTAATTAATGTAATTGATTTTCTTGTGTATGTTGTCATTTTTTAATAAAATTTAACTTGGCAAAGTAAGTGTTTCACTAAACTTTTCAATTATTGGCACTTTTACCCTTCATATTTTGATTGCCATACAGCCCTAGGTTAGTATAAAAAAGTCATACAGTTTTCTGTACAATGACAAAGAGTTTATTGATTCAAGGCCTCTAGCCCAAAACAACATATACATATCAACACATTTACATACATGATATGTTAGTCTAATAAATATGCCCTTCCTAAATACATATTATTTTAAACTATAAAGACTATTTTGCCGCAAGTTTATCAGTTATTAAACAGCCACCATATGTTAACAAGAACATTACTGGACACATAAATCCTGCACTTTTGTTTATTTTGTCATATCCAAAAATGTGCCTAAGAACAACCAGAGTGATCATTAAAATATTTCATACACTAATCCTAAATCTGCTTGATTTAAAAGTGATTAACCTTTTGAAGTTTTTCAGTACATTGTATATAGCCAGGCCAGTTAGAACAGCCTTTCCACTGTTCATACCTTAAAGGCACATGATGCCTCAGAAAAAAATCATTCTTTTGAAAGAGTAAATATGAAATTTAAATTTTACAATGTTTAAATAATCTTTTAAGAGCATAATAGATGTTCTTTCACCTCAAGAAAGTAGCACTGAATATGTAATTATTTGTCATAAAAGTAGCAAAATGTAAACAAAGTAGTATTTTGATTTCCATGCAAAATGGCAAATCACTATAACTGTACTAATTGCCAAAAGGCAACAGAAGCAAAAGGTGGTTTAGGTAATTGGGCAATTAGTAACTTTTTGGAAACAAATTAATATAAGACCAAAAACAAAAAAGCTTTTTGAAAATAAAAAAATGGGCCTTTAACTTAAGATTTTGGTATTGAAATTCTTTGAAAGTTTGAAAAGACTGTTCCACAGTCATAGCTGGGCAAATCTATTATAAAAATTCAGCAGGAGAAAAGTTACAGTTATCTGACATCTCTAGTATGTCCATGTGTATAATAAGTTTACTAATTGAACATTGAATATATTCAGCTGTTGCTGAAATTCTAATTCTTTTATTAAGTTGCATATCTTTAATACCACTGCTTCACTGTCTTGAATAACATACTTTGTTAATCAGAGACTGTTGAACTATCTGACCAAAGAATGTGCGTAGTTGCTGCCTTGAGTTACTTTTGTATCGTAATAATTTAAGTTTTAAAGAACTTACAAAATATTACATTCTTCGTGAGACATTTGTGTGTGTGTGTGTGTGTGTAATTATTACATGGAATATTTATTATTAGATAGATCATTTCAGTTAATTCTCTTTAACACATTTAACAATGCTGATATTAATCTTGATATCATGGCAATTATAGAAAATAACAAATCTTTATTGGACATCATCAAAGAACATGGTTTGCATTGAGTGGGTAATTTTTCAGCACTTTACAATGTAATCATAACTTCAATCTGACTAAAGTTCAAATATACTTATTTCGATTTATGTAGATTTGATGACAACATTATGTGTTTTGCCTTCTTTATAATTCGGGTTCCGGAGAAAGCTATTTTTAGCTCGACTATTCGATAAGAATAAGTAGAGCTATTGCAGTCACCCGAGCGTCGGCGTCGGCGTAACCACTTATGTTAAAGTTTTTAGCTCGACTATTCGATAAGAATAAGTAGAGCTATTGCAGTCACCCGAGCGTCGGCGTCGGCGTAACCACTTATGTTAAAGTTTTTGTAATAGTTCAAATATTTTCAAAGTCCATTGACATATGGCTTTGAAACTTTGCACACTTGTTCACCATCATGACCCCAACCTGTAGACAGGAGGAGGTAACTCTATCAAGCATTTTGACAGAATTATGCCCCTTTTTCGACTTAGAATTTACATTAAAGTTTTTGTAATAGTTCAAATATTTTCAAAGTCCATTGACATATGGCTTTGAAACTTTGCACACTTGTTCACCATCATGACCCCAACCTGTAGACAGGAGGAGGTAAACTCTATCAAGCATTTTGACAGAATTATGCCCCTTTTTCGACTTAGAATTTACGTTAAAGTTTTTGTAATAGTTCAAATATTTTCAAAGTCCATTACATATGGCTTTGAAACTTTGCACACTTGTTCACCATCATGACCCCAACCTGTAAACAGGAGGAGGTAACTCTATCAAGCATTTTGACAGAATTATGCCCCTTTTTCGACTTAAATTTACGTTAAAGTTTTTGTAATAGTTCAAATATTTTCAAAGTCCATTGACATATGGCTTTGAAACTTTGCACACTTTGTTCACCATCATGACCCCAACCTGTAACAGGAGGAGGTAACTCTATCAAGCATTTTGACAGAATTATGCCCCTTTTTCGACTTAGAATTTACGTTAAAGTTTTTTTGTAATAGTTCAAATATTTTCAAAGTCCATTGACATATGGCTTTGAAACTTTGCACACTTGTTCACCATCATGACCCCAACCTGTAAACAGGAGGAGGTAACTCTATCAAGCATTTTTTTGACTAATTCAAGAATTATGCCCTTTTTTCGACTTAGAATTTACGTTAAAGCTTCTTTTGTAATAGTTCAAATATTTTCAAAGTCCATTGACATATGGCTTTGAAAACTTGCACACTTGTTCACCATCATGACCCCAACCTGTAGACAGGAAAGAGGTAACTCTATCAAGCATTTTGACAGAATTATGCCCCTTTTTCGACTTAGAATTTACGTTAAATTTTTTATAGTTCAAAATATTTTCAAAGTCCATTGACATATGGCTTTGAAACTTTGCACACTTTTGTTCACCATCATGACCCCAACCTGTAGACAGGAGGAGGTAACTCTATCAAGCATTTTGACAGAATTTATGCCTCTTTTTCGACCTTAGAATTTATGTATAAAGTTTTTGTAATAGTTCATTATATGTTTCAAAGTCCATTGACATATGGCTTTGAAACTTTGCACACTTGTTTTTTCAAACATCATGACCCCAACCTGTAAACAGGAGGAGATAAACTCTATCAAGCATTTTGACAGAATTATGCCCCTTTTTCGACTTAGAATTTTATGTTAAAGTTTTTGTAATTAGTTCAAATATTTTCAAAAGTCCATGTGACATAGGGTTTTGAAAATTTTGCACACTTTGTTAAATAAAAAAAACAAAAACAAACAAAAATAACATTTTTCATTGGGACCCAACCTGTAAACAGGAGAGTAACTGTATTTCAAACCATTTTGACAGAATTATGCCCCCCTTTTCGACTTAGAATTTTGTTAAAGTTTTTGGTAATAGGGTTCAAATATTTTCAAAAAGTCCAGTTGACAATATGGCTTTGGGAAAAACTTTGCACACTTGTTCCCATCATGACCCCAATTGTTAAACAGGAGGAGGTAACTGTATCAAGCATTTTTTTTACTATCAAGCACTAAGAATAGTCGAGCGTTGCTGTCCTACTGACAGCTCTTGTTAGCCATGCAATCAAACCGGTTTTTACATAGGCATAAAAAGAAGTATCAAATTACCATTATACACCGAAGTTAACAAATCATTGGTTTTTGTTTGAAAAAAAACGTTTGAAGTAATTTTTAACAAATATTTGAAAGAGTAAATTTTTAATGGGTAATATGTCGGCTATATGGACAACGCGAAATCATGAAAATTACCCGCTCAGTATTGGTTTTCCCATGTTGCTTTCAAAATAATGAAAGCTCACAGATGATTGGCTGTGTGAATAGTCACCAGAAATAATTTCGTATATGGTCACTGTTAGATCTAAAAGTGGAGCGTTATTTAGAGCTGATTTTAATCAGATTGATCATAACTTATACATGTTTGCGTGATTTTTTTTAAATTTCATGTAGTTTAGCATTTTTAAGCCATTAGTGCTTTTTACATTGTTATCCTTAGAAAATGTTATATCTGAATAGTTTTATTTTTAACCCTTCACCTGTTGAATTTCTGAAAATTAAATTGACTTGCCACCTGGCATTCTTTAGACCATCCTTTTTATATGCCCGAAAGGGCATATTATGTTATACCCCCTGGCGTCTGTCTGTCTGTCTGTCCGTCCGTCCGTTAGCAATTTGGTTTCCGGAGCATAACTTATGTTCCATTTGGCCCACAATGTTCAAACTTCATAGGATGATTGTCCATATTGGGTAGAAGACCCCTATTGATTTTGGGGTCAAAAGGTTAAAGGTCACTATAACCGTAAAACAGAAAACAGTTTATGGTGCATAACTTAAGTTCCATTTGACCCACAATGTTCAAACTTCATAGGATGATTGTCCATATTGGGTAGAAAACGCCTATTGAATTAAGGGTCACAAGGTTAAAGGTCAAGGTCACTATTATCTTGATACTGAAAACACTTTCCGGAGCATAATTTCCAATTGGCCCACAATGTTCAAGCTTCATAGGATGATTGTCCATATTGGGTAGAAGACCCTTATTGATTTGGGTTCAAAAGGTCAAAGGTCAAGGTCACTATTAGCTTGATACTGAAAACAGTTTCCGAAGCATAACTTAAGTTCCATTCGACACACAATGTTCAAACTTCATAGGATGATTGTCCATATTGGGTAGAAGACCTTTATTGGTTTTGGGGTCACTAGGTCAAAGGTCAAGGTCACAATTACATTAAAACCAAAAACAGTTTCCGGAGCATAACGTAAGTTCCATTTGGCCCACTATATTCAAACTTTGTAGGATGATTGTCCATATTGCGTAGAAGACCCCTATTGATTTTGGGGTCACAAGGTCAAAGGTCAAAGTCACTTTTACCTTAATACTGAAAACGGTTTCCAGAGCATAATTAAAGTTTCAATTGGCCCACAATGTTCAAACTTCTTAGGATGATTGTCCATATAAGGTAGAAGACCCCTATTGATTTTGAGGTCACAAGGTCAAAGGTTGAGGTCATTATTAATAACTTAAGTATTAATCAACCTACAGCTGTAAAATTTTATAGGATGAACAGCTAATTCCCATGTCTTACAAATGCTTCATACTACTTAAAAAAAACACTTTCGGGCATATAATGCTCCGCCTAGCGGTGCTCTTGTTATCAATTCTGGGCATATCGTGATGGAAATTTAAAGTAAATTGACCTGGCCTAAATGGTTGCAAAGACTAGACTTATTTAGTTCCAGCAGGTTACGGGTTAATAAAACATATTGTCTCAAAGCAATTTAGCTTTTAAACCTTGTGTATTATTACACATATAATTCTTAGAAAAATAAGGAGACATTAGAGCTTGGGTATCACAGTTTGATAAAAAAAAAGCGGTTTAATCTGTATAATTTTATTATAATAATATTTATTATATTATTATAATCTTATTATTAATAAATTATATACGGTAGGTAGTGAAAAGTAATGAATCTCTATGAGTGAAATTATCTCTCTGAGAGAAACTCATTTCTTTATTATTAAAACTGGTTTAATTGTTCTGTTTAATTCAAGCATTTTTTATGTATAAATCATATAAGGTTTTTGATTGAGGCATCATGATTATTTTCCTATTTAAATGCAAAAGCTTCTACGCACTAGATAATTATATGTGTATGAGTTAACAGTGAAGTTTTTTTTAAACATGCTTTAATGTTGCAATATTCTGATTTTGTATTGTTATTGCACTCATCTTAATGTTTTCAGTTTGTTTATGATTATCAACATAATGTAACTAAATAATTTAGCTTATTTATAGACAACAAATGTACCTATAGAATTTTAACTTAATTATATATATAGACAGGCCACTCTATCTTATATATCTTATATATTATCTATTGAAAAAAATGATTCCTAATTAGACAAATTAGTTACATGATTGTATGACCTAAGAATATTTTAGTTTCTTCTAAATGTTTTGTTTACCTACTCTTTAACATTTTCCAGTTTGCACTATTAGAAACAGAAATGTTAGTTTGTCTATTTGTCCTTTCATTGGCACATGAGACATTTGGTCTATGTATTGCTTTATTTGTAAACTTAATACTTATAACTCAATTATGCAAATTTTATTATTTTAGTTCATAAATAGCCCTATATAGTCAACTGAAATCATGTGCCATTATTTTTGCACACCTATTTATTGCATTATTATTTTATAATATCATTTCAGTACACACAAAAGAAAGCTAAAGAGTTACACATTGTTGGTTGGGTTATGAATACACATCGTGGTACAGTTCTTTGGGACAACTGAAAGGGTTTTCTACAGGGGCTTTTAAAAACTATGTAAGTTTTTTTATTTCCCATTTTCTTTTTTTTTTTCTTTTTTTTTTGATGCCAAAATTAATAAAAATTTAAAAGAAGAAATTTCCTTCACAGGTTTTGAAACTTTTTATTTTTTGGGAAAGTTATTTTGGGGCCATAAATGAAAATTTTTATAAATTTTTAATAAAACAATAAAAAAAGTACGAGGGGAAAAAGGTGAAAAAGGGTCAGAGCAATTTAAAATTTTTTTTTAAAAACCTAAAATTTTTTGGGTATTCACAACCTTTTTCAAAGTTTTAAAATTAATTTTTTGAAGGGCGCCCCTTGTAAGAAATTTATGGATTACAAAGACTTTCTTATTTTTTGGCAAAATTGGGAAGTATTTAGTTGTTTTTTATCTAAAATTAATTTCAACAAAACCTGACTTTTTACTAGTGCGAGTAGATTTTAAGAATGTGAAAGTTCCGATAAGTTTTTGGAGAGACGCGGCAAAATATTCAAGGGTTTTTTAAATATTCGGAAAGACATTGGTTATCAAAAAAGGGAAGCCCAACTCAAGAATAGACAAGGCAGAGTTTAAAAGATAAAAAAAACTATAGATAAAACTACTTACAAATTTTACTAAAAAAAACCTTTAAAACCCCCCTTTGTCTCCTATACTCGACTTTTTGTGATAAATCTTTTAAATTGTGTTTTAATTTTAAGAAATTTTTAAAATTTAATTTTCATTTTTTTGGTTAGAAAAGTCAGACTAAAGACAACAAAGAGTTGTCCCCTTTTGGTTTTTTGGTACATTAAATGATTGGCGTTCCCCACTTTGGATCCTTGTATTGTATGCTTAAATTCTACTAAATTTCCCAAAATGGGTTTTAATGGGTTTGATACGTAGGGGTCCAAAACAAAATATATTGTTGTAACGGCTCATCCAGATGATGAGTGTATGTTTTTTGCTCCCAAACGTATTCTGTCTACACTCAAAGAAGGGCATAGCGTAATATCTAGTAATGTCTGTCTAAGGGTGATTACGACAACCAAGGCGATGTTGTACGGAAAAAGGAACTCAATAGCAAGTTGTTCACGACTGAGGAAGTGATGCCAAATCATGTTACCATATTGATGATGTAAGCGATTTTAAGGATGGTCCAGAGAAATGAGTGGGACAATTGACGGTCTGTGTTGATCGGATTGTGTCAGTTATTAAAAGAGTAAATGCTGATAGTGGTTTAAACGTTTGATAAGCTCTGGGTGTTAGGCGGACATGCCAATCATATAGCTTTAAATCAAAGGCAGTTTGAGAAAATTTCACATGAGCAAAGAACTAACTACTGTGTCATTTTTTATGCTACAATACTCAAATATTGTTAGGAAAAATATCGTCATTTCTAATATACCTTTCAGCATGTATATTTAAAATTTGACAAACTGTTTGTAAGTTACCCCAGGGTGAGATAGTCAAGTCATGCGGGCGATGTCGGCCCACATCAAAGTCCAGATGGTATGGTTTTGAAAACTCTATATCGTATTCTCACGTTACATGTATGTAAATACTCCTAAACAGAGTTGACATAAAAATGGCAGCGATACTTGAGGAATGGAATGAAAAAATACAGAGAGCAAATTATGTTGAAAACTTTATATGTTATCGTAAAAGGATTGAAAGAATGATTGTGATAAATGTTTAAATGTTCTAATTTTTATTATTTGATTTCTATATTGATTATTCACCTGATGTGCTGATATGAAATCATGATTGATTGTAAAACTGCAATTAAATTTAATAAAATGAATCTACCCTGATTTAAAATTTGGAATTGATAAATAAAGAATAAAGGAGATTTCTAGTTCAAAATAGAAAAGCATGTCAACACTTAACACCAAGTTTTCTGTCCTGTTGACACCAAAGCTCAAGTCCTGTCTATATAATGGTGGCTGCAGTAGCTGTAAACTTGCGGTAATAAACAAGATAATTTAATCATTATCAGATTGGGTACATGTAATGTGTTTTCTTTAAAGGTTCTGTAAAATAATCAACTTGAAATGGTTTCAAGATTTTAAAAAGTCCCTTTGATTAGTTTCTGAGGGAGGCGAGTGTTGTGTTAAGATGCACACTTACCTTTTTCTGTATACCCTCTGACTTCTTGACTAACTGTGTCACGTTGTTGTATTCTTCCACACATTGGTCAATAGCGTTTTGTTAAGTTGGTGGTTGAAAGTTTTGAAAAATCCCATGTTTGGACCAGGATTTTTTTCGCATGCATGATTTAGGGCGCCTTTGTTTTACAAAATTTGAAAATGTTTTATAATAAGAATAAGTAAACTGATATATAAAGTTCAGTGAAAGGAAAGTTTACTTTGTATATTTGGCCCAATATTTTTTACCTCAGGACCAATCACCATGTTTGTCCAATTAAAATTATTCAAAATTATACTATATTTCAAGGTTTTGTTTCCTTGTAAAAAAAAAAAATTGTTTTTAAATAAAGTTTTGTAATACATGTATAATAACTCATTTTGGTCACACAGTGATATTTATTTCTTATATTATTGGGATAACAGTAACATGTACATGTAAAATGAATACTGAGTAAAATACCAAACATTTGCTCTTCATGTAACAGTGGGTTTGAATAATTTTGCATGCAGCTATGCAATGTTCTAGTAAATGCCCTAAAAAACCGAAGCAGAAAATACAGCAATGTGATGAACAAATGTATTTGTCAATTAATTAAAACTGCCTGTTTTCCCGTGCAAATTTTTTATAAAAAATTTAGAAAATGCCCTAAACAAATGAAATTTTTCTATTATGTAGTGATCAAAGTAAAAGCAAGTCATCAACTGAATACAAATATTACCTAGTGTGTTAAAGCAGCGGGCCTCAGATTCATTTTAAATTTTTCATGAAAAATTTTGGAAATGTTTAAAAGCAAAATTTTGTAGTAAAACAAATAGATCAATTTACATATTGCAATAAACACCTACAACCCAAGAAAATTACCAAAATGTGGTAAACATATGCAAAAACACCTTCGTGTTAATAAGCAGTAAAATAGGTGATAAGATACTGTAAAATCAGTCTGCATAAAAACTGTAAAATATCACTTGATCTAAATTTTTTAAAAACCCTTTTTAAAAATTTTTTGTACATTTTTCTCTCATATTGATTTTTGAAATATTTTGGGTCATCTGAAGGGGTGCAGCCTGTAACAATTGTAATAAAATTGGGAAAAAGCTCTAATTACATGTATTGTTGCATACAGGCGTAGAAATTGTGACTTCAGTTCAGTATATACTAATGGTGTTCGTATGTATTATAAAAATTCTTTTTTCTAAATTTCTAATAGTTTGATGTTTTTGTTTGTTTTTTTAAACATTTGTTCATTGATAATAAAGTAAAAAACCTGACCAATTTGACTGGTTGTAATAAAATGATGAGTGTATTTAGATTGCTGGGTGTCATTAATTCAATCCTTGTCATACAGACACATCATGTCTGTTTTATGTCAGATTCTGGTAGAAAGTACATGCAATCATATAGTGTAATACATCAAAAGTGAATTTTAAATGTATCTGCCAAATTTTCTTCTAAATGAGAGTTTACTAGATAATAAAAAATATAGTGTTATCAACACAGGCACTGTGAAATTGTTTAAAGGTAAAATCGGAAACCGCCCTAGGATATGTGTTTACTATATAGAAATCATTAGTAACTGCTGAATTTATATAACGAATTTGTTCTATCTTTGAATTATGTAATAGTTTAATGGATTTCAGATCAAAACAATTAACTCGGACAGCAAATGAGTGTATAAAAATACAAAATGTGTCCAGAAGACAAATCATTACTGCCCAATAGTGCTACAAGAGAGATACATTTATATAAATTAAAGTTGTTGTTAATTTTAACATTCCTGGATGTTCAGTCAGAAAATGGTTGTGTGGTTTTCTTGTTGTCCTTTGTTCATGTTTTTTTTGTCATTCATATTTGATAATTGGATGCAACTGATATTCTGGTTTTTAACAATTATTTCAATTATTTCCTAATAAATTTTTCAAACAAATAAAATATTTGTTTTTTTTTTTTTAATTTATATGACATATTACCAGTGAATTGTATCAAACTATTTCTATAGAATTGACAAAGTTACATCGAGAGTTTATAATGAATATAAATGTTTGGTACTTTCTTAGTTTTATTCAAAAAGTCTCATTCATATCACATGTATAATATGTATATAGCAAAATTTAAAATTTACTTTTTAGCTTGAACTATAACAAAGTATATGGAGAGCTGTCCTACTCGCCCCGGCTCCGTGTAGTCCATGCAGATTAAAGTTTTAGTGCAGTTAAATGTTTTTCCTATAACTTTTTTTCAATTCTTAAAAGGATCAACTTCAAATATATGTTCCCTTATGCTCAAACCACGTTTATTGATTCAAGGTTCGTAACTCTAGCACCAATATTTTCAGATTTATCTCCCCTTGAACTTAGAATTTTTCCTTGAAAAATACTATTTTTTAACCTGGTTACTTCTATTTTAAGGTAAATTCATAACTTGAAATATATGTTCTTATCATTAACCACATTTTGTGTGACAAGGTCATAACTCAGCCACCAAAATATTGAAATAATTATCTCCCCATAAACATAGATGCTTTTTACTTGAAAAATGTTTTTATGCCACCGCAGCATCTGCGATGCGTGCATATAGCGATTCACGTGTGTGTTTGTGTGTAGTGTTATATAGATTATAATAGTGGACTTAAAAAAAATCTTTCTGTGAAAAAACTAGTCCAATTTAAAACCAAATTTTGGCGGATCGTTTTCCTTGGGTGAAGGGCTTCCTAAGTTGTTCAATAGAATTTAATTCCATGCAGGAAACATCTGTTCCCATGCAACCAAAAGGGAATTATAAGAATAAATTTAAAAAAAAAATTCTGTAAAGACCAAAAGGGCCCTAGTGCTTAGATATTTTGCATGGGGCATTGTCTG